TAATAAATCTGCTGATATTCTTCTTCTTCTTGCCAGTATAAACCTAAAAAGAAACCCTAACTCCATTCAGTAGACCTACTTGGGCTCAGCTCAGATGGTAGGTTTTGGGAAAAGCTGTGGTTAACTCTTGCTGTTACTATGTATCTTTCCCTGATGTAAACAGCACCTGAGGAGAAGAACAAACAAACAAAATAAGCATAACAAACAGCACGTAAGTTTTAACATGGTGCATATGATTGAAGCTGGACCCAACATAAACCAAGGTAGTTTTACTAAACAGAGTATGAGCAATTCATATCAGCAGAAGAGGAGGATATAGCCCATGGTATATCTTTGTAATTTATAATTATCTTTCTCTCCTTTTTTATCTAGAACCTTAATTAGGAAATCCTTTCTCATTAATTGCAAGGAACCCTTAGTCATTAGTTTCACAGATGAAAAAGAAATCTTATCTAATTCTGCTGTAACAGCAGATGCGGGGCTGTCTGTTCCTTTGCTTTGAGGGATGACGTTTCTTTTTCCACCATAGTATGGAAGACACTTAAATCCTGATTATGTCTCTTGCTACCCTGAATTTACTTTATACTCACTCTTCTTTATCTCCATAGGTGTATTTGTACACTGAATGGATGGACTTCAAAGAGAACATTAAGTCCAGTCATCTCCACTTCCACAGCGGTCACAGCAGCGAAAATTTGTTGCAGCAAAAGGAGGAAACCAAATGGAATATTGCTCAAAAATTCCAAATTCCAGTGTTTTCCAAACAGGAACTGAGTAGAAATTTCTTCTTGGAAGTAAGCATAGGAACCCATTAGTAATGTAGACTTTGAAAGCCTGAAAAAAAGTCTCTTCATGCCTTTCACACTTTGAGTCTTTTATGTGGTTGATGAACAGTGGATAAAGTTATCGTCAATAAAATTGTTCCACTTTTTCCTTCCTCTCCTCCAGCAAGATGGTTTCTACCCTGTCCCAGCTTGGTGCATACTCCTGTGGGGAAACGATTTTGTGAATGGATGGTCACAGGACAACAGCAAAGGGTTTTCTTTCATATCAAGACTTTATTTCCTCACAAAATTACTGAAAGAGGAGGTTTTGTTTTGTTTGTTTGTTTGTTTAATAATGAGATGCTTTGGCTCATGCTCCTTGTCAGTGGATACCCACATGACTCCAAATTCAGAGGTATGTTGTCCACGTTGCCCAACTCCTTGATTGTGAGTACTCAGAAGTCTTTCTCACACTTTCTACCTCTCTGTGCATCTCCTCTTTCTTTCCCATCTTTTGATTTGCATGTCTATTTTCTAATGCTGGTAATAGCCTTGACCTGGACAGGGCAATTGTACCTGATACAAGGTGTGTTGCAGATAGTTAGGGAACGGCGGCTGGAAGATATCGTGCTGTACGGAAAGATAGGGCCCCTAATAGCCAATAGCGTTTAGTTTATGATGTAAGCAGACGGATGTGACGTTGTAAACCTAGCTATATAACACCTTGTTACCCATCAATAAACGCCATTTGCCGTCCACCACATTGGTGTCAACTAGCTGATGGCCCGAGTGGCTTGGGGGTGGTCACCGTGCCGTCCCTGAACCATGTGCACCGTTTGAACTGCAACAAAGGTGATGGGATCTTATTCAGTAAGCAAAAATGGGGTATTTATATCTGAGGACTGAAACTACTCAGTTAGTGTTTTTGCTTGTAGTCATAGTCACAAGGTACAGAGAAACAGTCTGCGAAGTTGTTATGGAAACAAGTCCTGAGAGATGCCTACTTTGCTACCCAAAGATTTGCTCTGCCTTAAGAAGGAAACAGCTTGACAAAATAGAAAATGTCGCATTTCAAACATCCAGATTGAGGCTAAGAACTGACAACTTGAAGTGAGATTTTTGAAAGCACCTGTGTGATTTGGGACACTATTCCTATGTAAAGTCAATGACATAGTGTGCTCCTGATCACTTCAGCCACTGGAAAAAAAAAAAAAAAAAAAAACCAACAAAAAAACCCTGAAGCCTCCTAATAAAATTGCCGAATTCCAGAACTGCAGTAGTCCCTAGTATTAGTGAAGCTCATGCAACTTCACTATTGTGCTTTTAAGGAGATTTTTAGGGCGGGATTTACATGTCTATAAGGAAGCCTCTAGGTTAGCACTTCTGAGCTTCTGTTTGCTGTTGTGTTTCTCTTAGTTCTAACACAGAAAATCCTAAGAACAAACTTCACTCCGGTTTTATGCATCTTCATTTATACATTACTTTTAGTGCTGTGAATTGCAAAAAAATGCATAAAGCTTCTTGTACAATGAAGTTCCTTGACCCCAGTACTACATAGTACATGCATGTGTGTGTAGAGACTCCTAAGATACATACACTACAGCTAGAACCTCACTGCTGAACTTCACCTGCTAGCATGAAATCTCTTTACAAGAGATGCTGCAATTATGCTTCCAGTCATTTGTCTCACTTTCCTTTTTTTTTTTTTTTCATTTGTCATTTTTTTTTCATTTGTCATTTTGTCATGCTGGTCAGGAGAACAACCTTTTTTTTGGAAGGATTCTGCCTAGTAGGAGTAGTGGGGTCAGGCCCACGTGAAAAAACAAACACAGGAATTTTGTGACGTATGTTCAGCGTGCTTCATGCCTCCTCCTGAACTTGGGCTTAACCTGAGTTTTTTATATCTTACTTTGGGGGAACTTTTATCAGCTAATATGCTCAAGAACAAAATAACCCAAACATGTGCATTCACATAAAAGTTGAAGAAAAATCGCTCTTGCGTGCACACACACACACGAAGATTTCATTACTGTGAATCTGAAACATAGCTAAAAATATCTTTTTTTCTGAATTAACTGAGAGACAAGACAACTTTTCACACAAAATTGCCAGAGATCCCACCTTGCAGATTCTTCTTGAGACCCACTGATTTAACAAGATTACTTACCCAGAGAATTTTTGCTCCAAGGGCTACAGAATGAGTCTCAGGCTTTTGACCCTTCTAGACATTTGCCTCATTCCCAATCTACCAAAAAGGAATTAGGCTTTTATGTATCTCTGTAGAGATGACCCCGGAAGTTGCTGCCTTTATTCAGACAAACTCCTGTCAGTCCAGAGCCCTCACTACACCCCACTCATGGGTCTCTCACGTTGTCTTGCAGTAACCAAGAAAACTGGTGTTTTGCTACAGACTTCAGTGAGCAGAAAACAGACTTTTCAATACAACGGCTGTGCACTGACTCCAAGAGAAATCCCTGTGCATTCAAAAGCCTGTGAGAAGACAAGGGGGCTCTGGAGAAATGCAGCAGTTAGGATCTGCACAAACAATTTCTACCATGTGATCAGAGCCCTGAAGAGAAGAAGCACAATAAAAGCCCTCTAGGCTTGGATCCAGGTCTCAAGGCAACAAAAAGTAAGCAGATTAACAAATATGCAAATAGATCCCATCTCATGAGCCCGCTGCTTCTGATCATATGAAAGGACATGCCTTTAGCATTCTTACCCTTATGGCTGAAAAGCATAATATATACATATGCATAAAATGTATTCTATATATTTTGCATCTTGACATTAGGTCTATCTTATGTATTACATGTGTCACATGCAATATGTAATACACTAATACACATATACAGTATTATGCAAGGCAGTAATGGCTGCCTTTGCTTTTACATGCATGCACATATGTGAAAGCCAAATATACATTTAGATAAAGAACACAAAAAGATATTTCCTTGAAGTAAAATCTACCAATGGAATCTAAAAGCATCCATTTCCCCTTTTGACTCACTGGCAGCATCTGAAACATTTTAAATTCAGGTATAAGACAGAGCTGACTAAAGGAAGAAATGTTCTGGGAAGCAGAGTATCCCATATCTTAAGATGTCTATCTGTGGCCTCTTGACAAACCCACATTTTCGGCCAAGGTTTGCATTTAATATTGCCATCATGGGTTGTTCTCATAAACATCTATTGCATGCAAAGGACATTGCTGCACCTTTTGTCTAAGAAATATACAGAATTGGCTAGATCATACAAAGGCATCTCACCAAGGTTAATTCTTTCCTCTTCTCATTTGAAAGATCTGGGTTATGCTCTTGGGCTTCTGCAGATGGCTTTGGAAAGTTTTTCCAGTGCTGATATATATCTCTAATGCTAGCATGCTTATCCTGGGACAATTTATGTCTGCAGCCAGTTACACCAGTGCAATCTTCAGTTAACACAGGTACAACTGTCTGTAGTTGAAGCGTTTCAGAATGGAATTATACCAACATGCAAACTTCCCTCAGCTATACAAACCTTTTAGTGAAAAAAAACAGTGAAGTCAATTGTTCTCACATATAGAACTGGATACCTGAAATATAAAGTACGACTTATTAAACACTATCATGAAGAGACAAACTGTGGAGATAAATGATTTTTCTCAAATGTGACTTGCATCAGAAGCCACTTATCGCTTTGAAGATTAAGTTGGTATTATAAAATCCAGTTAACTTCAGGGCCCTGACATAAGTAAGCCTGAAATAACCTTGAAACACAGAGAATCGTCACCAAGCCTGTTGATTTTTTAAGCCTGCTTTTGAAATACAATACCTGATCACAAGTAGCTACAAGATTTTAGATCTATGCACCTTTTCCAAAATACAAACCCACAGATTTTTAGCATGCCAAGGGTTGCAAAGGATGAAGGCATCTGCTGTCTTTCCCCTACAGCTGCAGAACTCACTGTGACACTACAGCATTTCCATTATTCAGACTTAATGGCATGGCAGGCATGAGTGATCGCAGCCAAGGGCACTGAGCTGTGCAGGAACTAAGGGCAGGGCTTGAGACAGATGCTTGTAGCCTCTTTAACCGTTTATTCCATGCCTAATCCTTCAGCTGAAGTTGTGGCAAGGGCTATTTCTTTGCCAGGGGACTAGACAGGTTAGCCTCCAGGATTAATATTGGATTAAATCAGTCTCCAGAAAAAGGAGAAATCCATGAGGATGTGGGGAATGACGCCTAGTACTCCACAGAATAAAGAAAGAACATTCCCAAGGGCACAAGGCAATGAGACACAGCAAATCAGGATAAGAGAGCGCATTATCACAATCATTCTGTTTATGGTATTACAATTCACAGTCTGGCATGTAAATGGTGAATAGATCCAGCTGCTAGTGCGAAGCCGACTGTGCAGCAGCTTCCAGGACTGTGTCTGGATCCAGGATAACAAAATTGATCACACCTCTGTCAGCATTTTCTTCTCTTTATAACCCTGGTTGTTTGGAGGAATAAAATTGGAATATTTCATGGGCTCCAGAAGCTCTTCTGCTTCTAGGAATTCAGATTTGCTGAAAGATGGATTACTGTCTCCCTTTTTGGGTTCAGATAAGGGGGACTGCTTCTGCCCACAGGTGATGTGGGTGTACTGGCACTGCTCTTCATGATCAGTCTCTCGGTGGTAGAAGTAGTTGAAGTTGGACACAATGACAGGGACAGGCAGGGCTATAGTGAGCACACCTGCAATGGCACACAGAGAGCCCACAATTTTGCCACCAATTGTCATGGGATACATGTCCCCATAGCCCACGGTGGTCATGGATACCACCGCCCACCAAAAAGCATCAGGGATGCTGGTAAACAGAGAGTCAGGGTCATCAGTCTCTGCAAAGTAGACAGCGCTGGAGAAGAGGATCACTCCAATAAAGAGGAAGAAAATGAGGAGGCCTAGCTCCCTCATGCTGGCCTGGAGAGTCTTCCCCAAGATCTGCAGCCCCTTGGAATGCCTGGAGAGCTTGAAAATCCTGAAGACCCTGACCAAGCGGATGACCCTGAGGATAGCCAAAGACATGGCTTGCTGCTGGCCCCCATTGCTGCTGCTACTTCCAGGCAGCTGCTTCTGCTGCTGCTGTTGGGCCAGCTCAGTGCCTAAAGTGATGAAGTAGGGGATGATGGCCACAATGTCAATGATGTTCATGATGTTGCGGGAGAACTCAGGCTTGCTGGGGCACGCAAAGAAACGAACGAGGAGCTCAAAGGAGAACCAAATGATGCATAGGGTCTCGATGAGGAAGAAGGGGTCAGTAAAGAAGGGGCCACCACCAGCAGCAGGGTGCAGGGGCAATGAGGTCCCAGTTGGTGGTGCTGGTGGCAGTAGGAGCAGCGTATCGTCACTGGGGGGTGCCACCTCCCCAAAGCCATGCTGGGTACCCTTGGGTTCCTGGCGAAACTCAGGCAGGGTCTCCAGGCAGAAAATGACAATGGAAATGAGGATCACCAGCACAGAGACGATGGCAATGGCCCGGGCTGGCCCCGAGCTCTCGGGGTACTCAAAGAGCAGCCAGACCTGACGCTGGAAGTGATGCTGTGGCAGGGGCTTCTCCTCCTCTTGAATGAAGCCCTCATCCTCCCGGAAGGTCTCAATGGCCTCCTGACCTAGCTGGTAGAAGCGTATCTCCTCCAGGAAGACATCCAGAGGCACATGGACTGGCCTGCGGAGCCGCCCCCCCGACTGGTAGTAGTAGAGGATGGCATCAAAGCTTGGCCTGTTTCGATCAAAGAAGTACTCATTGCGGAGTGGGTCGAAGTAGTGCACCCGGCGGCTGGGGTCCCCCAGCAGAGTGTTGGGGAAGATGGAGAGGGTCCGCAGCTGGGTCTCAAAGCGCAGCCCCGAGATGTTGATG